ACCTTGGACGTCTGATCCCGTCTGAAGGGCGTATGATCCGATGAACTGGACACCGGCTCTCAATGGACTGCGGTTTTCACACACCGCCGCGCTGCCTTGCGGGTCAGGCTTTGGCTAGCCGAAGGCTCCGGTTGTGGATTCCTCAAGAAAATTCACCTGCCTTGACCTGGGCAACCTGGCAGTACTCAGCCCACAAGCCAATCATGGAACATTTTTCTTTATAAAGATTATTGTACCATGATTTGTTTGGCACACAGTCTGTCCTCAGACAAGTGTGAAATATATATATATATATATATACATAATGCCTGTGTTTGTATGCGTGTGTATGGATACCATGGATAATATAGCAAGGGGTGTATGAGAGTTCAAATCATTCTGCAAATTTCATTTGTAGTGTCAAATTGATCAAATACATAAACGATTTGACACTTATTTGATAAATAGCTTTATGTCCCTCTAGCGCTTGTGGCTGGCCATGGTAAATCCAGAGATCCGGCCGACTGTTTTTTTACTTCTTGATGCAACCCACGGGTATTTTCCAGTATTTCAAACAAGCCAAAGACCCGTCCGTTCTAAATGAACTTAACCAGTATGTCAAGTTTCATACGCAGTTTGCGAAGGCGAATTCTACCGTTCGTTTCCTGGAAGCTTGCCTTATTAAATCAGAATGACCGAAAAAACACGGGGCAATCCTTCGTCGGAATCATAGCGAAATGTCTAAGCGATCCTTACGTCACCAAGCACTGAATGTTTTGTTTTCATAAGGTTCGCTAGAAAAACGAAGCCTGCACGATTATCACCTGTTCACTTTCGAAACAAGAAACGGGTGTCACAGAGGAATATCTTCTGCCGACAGCTAAAATATATCCGATGGCTAACACTTGGGATAACCATATTATGTTGATAAACATGTGTGTAAATTTAGTGTAAAAGGATAAACGGAGGTTTCAAGAAACCCTGGGAAAAAAGGTATTTTTAATACAATGCTGCTATTTGAGTGTATCAATGTCATCATGAAAGACGAATTCGGAATACCGGCACCAAGGCATACAGGACGCGTTTCCACTACTACTTCTGGAGCAGCCGAATTCCTAAAATTACAGTTCTATGAAGTGTTCGCTGCAGGTGGCAAAGTCGGATTACAGCTTTCATACCTTCTGCCCAGTGTCCAACACCCTCAAAAGATTACTGTCAACTTCAAATCTGAAACTATAAAAGCCAAACGATTGGCACTGAGTAAGAATTCATCTCCAGGGTGAAACAAAATTCATCCACCATTCAACCATGACACCCTTGGCAAATCACATATATATATACATATATAAAATAATTGCTCATTTAATCCAAAGCATATTCGACTAGATGAAGAGTCCTCAGACTTGAAAACACGGTGTCGTCTCACCTATTCACAAAAGTAGCTGCAGAAGTGATCCTGTAAACTACCGTTCAGTTACACTTCTTCCTGCTTTGTCAAAAGTATAGGAGTCATTTGTTGCTGATTTTCCAGGTAGAGCATTTCGGGAAGTACAACATTGTTTAGCCGGCCCAACACGGGGGTTTCGAAGAAAGCGCCCGTGCACTGCACACCTGCTAGTTGCACGAAATCAGTGAACAAATTCTCAGTGGACGCAGAAGAGGCAGTAGACGTAGTCTACTTTTGCTATCACCAAAGCATTTGACGGAATCAATCACCATATACTGCTACGAACGCTCCATAATTAAGATTTTCGAAGAATGCTCCTTGACTGGATTGAGGAATTTCTTCAATAGCATACCGTATTGATTTGAATTTATGGTTCTCTATCGGGACCGAATGCGCCAGTTCGTGGAGTTCCAAAGGATAAGTACTTGATCCGCACCTTTTCTTAGCATTCATATACGAGCTTTCAACTATCCTNAACTAAAAGGATCTGGTAGTTATTGTTTGAGAGGATCTAAGATGTTCCACATATTGCGCCAGAGCGTTATCAAAGGCCATAAAGTACGTTGAATTGCTCAGACGTGTTTTTGCATCCTCCGAAGCAGACCGATTGCCCGGTTTCCTATCAGTATATATTTGACTACACACCGAGTATGCTTCACGGGCTTGGAATTCATGGCTGATTTGTGACCAGAAGGCACTCGAATGTCCGCGGAGAACAGCAACCAAAATGGTGAAAGGGTTACTATCTAAAACCTACACTGAAAGTTTGCATTGACTCGGACTCTATTCGACAGAATACCGTTGAATACGGGGGACGTGATTCTCGTATACGAAAGACTACATTAATCTGAACACCCGTGTAATACTCTACTAACACTATTCAGGAACGGTCATCTCAGAGAAAACCCCTTTAGGCTTTTGCTCCAAAAGGCTTGGCAAGACTGTAGGCTTTACTCTTTCAGCCTTAGAGTTTGTAATACCTCTAACACTCTTCCACCTGTAGTTGTTGGTGCACCTAGTATCGATTCATTCAAGTCACGGCTGGATGAAGCATAGGGACTCCTAACGTTTGAGCACTTGTGAGCAAAAGTTATAGTTCACTGTTAAATTGTACTACCAATTGAACCCAGTGTGTACAGATCCTATTGGATTTAATAAGCAACAGCCTCATAATTTCCCCATGAAAACCTAAATTTGAATGATAAAATTCAGTTTATATATTAACCAAACTCGAATAGTTTAAAAGGAAAATATAAATAAATAAATATGTATGTTTCATGCACAAGAATATTGAATGTCACTTTATCTTACAAACCAGCAGAGCTAGCACTCACTTGAAACGGGGTGGACTATCCCCGGATAGGCTTTCCGCTTCTCGGCCGGTGGGAGCATCAACTGTCACCGCTGGGACAATCCGATAGTTTGTCGTGTCCATACTCTCCTCGGAACCGGCAACAGACACATCCAAACAGTCCAATAATCCATACAGCGAGCTCATCACCGAACGGAACTGAATGCGCGGGGTGTGGAATTGCAAACAATATTACATATTGCAGAATAAAAACAATCAACCAGATCCACACAGCTTTTTCGTGTTTTCGCGGGATGGACACTGTTTATTTTCGTGCAAGATTAAGGTACACATAGGCTTTTGTGTTAAAATATCACCGAGTGAAGTTTTCAATTTTTGCTGTGCAAAGTAAGGGATAAGTAAAGTGTTCCTGACTCTAATACGGAAAATAACACGTTATTGTGCGAAGCGTTTAGTCACATTATTGGGGTGTAGCAAAAATAAGAACAACAACAAAAAGATGGATATGGGCTTTTCAGGTGCGGTGTGTACTTTGTCAAGTATGAGTATGTGTGTGCCTTCAAGATATCATTCCGTTCTAAGATCGTCAAGATACCTTATCGATTTTCCATTTAATGTGTATAAACTGCTTAGCACATGACAATAAAACCTGAAAAAGGTATGACAATGATGAGGATGATGTTTGTCATTATCATTCACAGAGATGAAGAACATAAGTATTAACGGATGATATTGCCGATGTTACTGTAACCGCCGCCGCTGCTGCTGCTACTGTTGCTGTTGTTATTATTGTTGTTGTGGTCACTGATGATAATAATAATAATAATAATCATGAATTACTCATCAACGCAATTTGAAAAATAAATGGGACAGAGGTGCTAAACCTGAAAAAGATGATGGCATCGTATGATCGTGACAGTAATGACTGCCAGTTAGATCGTGAATATCACGATGACCGTAGTGCTGATGCTAGTCAACTTTTAGTTTAGGAGGACGGGTCGGATAATCGTGACGGTGACTTTTATGTTATAGTTGCAGTTGATGAGTAACTGTTTTCAGTTATCATGTCAGAATTTCTCGGATAACGTTCTTATGATGGGTTAGATCATATTGATTGCATAGTGTCAACATAGCGGAACAAAGCCGATCTACGGATTCCGTGTTAGACATCGTCGTCCATTATCCATATATCATAAACGGAACGACCAACTGTATCCCCAAAACCAAATGTTTGGACTAATAAATGAAAACTCACCTCTTGTATGTTGAGATCCTTGTTCAGAACATGAGGTAAAATACTTGGAAATATTTCCTTCGCGATCAAGTTCGGTTCCAGAATATTTCCTCGAGTTGACGTAATGCTCTTCCAAATCTCTGAATGAAATCAACAATCAATAAAATATGGAAATTTGGCTGTCGATTTTGCAGTTGTTATTTTTGTTGTTCAGTTTATAATAACTTCCAAGTGATATAGCTTATTATATAATTTAGCGGTGCATAGGGACGCATTGGTGTCCAGAGATCCAGATCCCGATTGGAGTTTACATTCCACTTACTGAAAATGAGTAGAACACTGACCAATTTCAATCACCACCAAAAGTGAACACTATTCACAAATGCACTCAAATTATTACTATGATTTACCACAGGCTTGTAGACAAGCAGATGTCAAAGCAATAGCAATAATTACAATAACACTGAAAGGGGACAGGTGGATTGGAGTACAGAACAGAGTGAAAAGGGGGTGAAATTTTGAAATACGGGAAAATGAAAGATATTTGGAATAACAAAAATGTTTTGTGTTTCATCGTACACCTTTTGTTACTTTTTTGTGTTGTTTTTTTTTTTTTACGGGGCACGTGATTTGGACAGGCAGACCGTACAGCATTTGCGCCACTGACTTCCATTCTGGGCCATATCTCTTAGCGTCTCTAACCGACGACAATCCTCATCCTTTGGGTTTCAACTCCAAAGGCGGGCCGCACCAACAGAAACCAAACTTAAAGCTAACTTCTTCATGCATTTAGCCCATGTCAATTCATTGCAACGAGTGAAACGGAATCAGTGGACTATTCTAACCTATTCAGTTAGTTGAATGACAACTTCACTCAGACTAAAGAACATAAACCAGCGGTAGAACTTTCAACTGGAGAGGGACAAAATTAAACTGCCACGTAAAGTACTGCACCGAAGCTGCTTTTCCTTATTGCTCAAAATTAATATAATTTATTTTTGTTGATGTTATTTTTGACTCAGCCATCTTTTTGCAAAACTGAAATGATGAGTTTTTGGGAAGTAATATTGAGAGCTACAGCTTCCTTTAGCTAAATTGCATCTGGATTCGGTGCGCGATAGCACATATATGCACTGGTTATCATTTTAATTAAAATTTTATATTCTTAGGACAGGTCCGTTATAAATAGTTTGACCTTATTTGCCTCGTAGTTGCTTCAGATTAGTACAAATTGCCTGAAAATATGGTGTTGAAACGCAATCATCCGCATCCAACAANATCCAACAAGTGGATTTCTAAAATTTGAAAGATCAAATTAAACTATATAGATGGTAGGCTTGTTGAAATTATGTACGACACAGAATCGTCATTCGCCGAGTACAGAATCCGAAATAAACCGAAAGATCGCAATTACATTTAATGCCTATGTAGAAAATCTGTCCTTAATGTTTTGCAACCGCAGAAAAAGCATACAGTACGTTTTCACAAATCAAAAAATCCTGATACAGAAATATAATTAATTTCGCGACAACCGGCACTGCAATTGGCATAATGGCTTTCACCACCGTCAAGACGACATTCGTCATTGTTGATTAGCCAAGTTGATGATCATTACAGGTTGGATCGCGTTTTTCATGATCATTCTATTCTTAAAACAGCTTGCAGATTACAACCGTAACCGGAACTCTATTGCTATGACGAATACTGTGCCCATTGAAAATGAAAACTGAAAAAATTGAGGCGAATTGTCGTAAAACTGTCTCTTAAACGATAACAGCTAATAACGCAAAATCTACAAGTAATATAAGGGAGGTTAAAAATCTGGTTGCCTAGAAGAAAATTAAGTACGTTAAACATCAACAAAATTAAGTACTCAAACATCTGGACTAAACGAATGTTTCTGAACTTCCAGCACTGATTTTATAATGTCAACCGAAAGATGTCAGCTGAACCTCGTTTGGATACACCTACACTTGTAAGAGAGAGAGAGGGAGTGAGTATCGATTTATATATGGAATTGTTCACATTCATTTTGTCTTTGTCCTTTGAAAATTATTGCTCATTGATTGAGCTGATTAATTAGAAAATAATATGGAAAAATAAATTTATCACTTTATCTTTAGTCCTATTCTTTGAGGATGAGCTGAAATTCCATTGACCCACGAACATCAGCGCAATGGAATCTAATTGGCAAACCAATGAAGCATCAGGGGACATCTAGTTTTTCCGTGTTGGTGCTCGTCAGTAACATGTGTACGATGTGCATGTGTGCGTTTGTTCCTGACGGAACCAAAACAAGAATCAGACAACCAATGAAGCCACTCACCACAAATAATACCGATCGGACTATCCGTACCGTCACTAGTCGGTTTGTCATTGTCCATGGACAAATCACTGGATATACGGGAGCGATGGCGTCCGCGCAGTCGGGCATCATTGGAGTTTGAGACACAGATTAGCTTGGTAATTTCCAGCAGGAATGGAATCAAGTGATCCTGTAGTGCAGTCACACTGATCTGCCTGACCAATGTGGTCAGTGTTCGAAGCACGTGGATTCGAATCTGCCGCGAACGAAAAAAAAGAGACGATCTGTGAAATTAATTACCGTGCTTTGTTTGGTTCAACTGAACTGTGAAAACGTCACCGTAAATACCACCAATTGGTTTCCAGCATTACCGTGGTTATGTGGAATTTTTTTAAATGATCTGGAATGGCTCCTTGTAATTCACCTCAAAAATTTGTTAGGTGTCATATTCAATAGACGAGGCGAAACAGTCAATTTCGGGTTGACGTTTCGGCAGATGGAAAACGTGGATCAGTGTTTTTGGGCGAAACGAGTGAAACGAGCTGCTTGGGGTCATGCTTATGAAGTGTAAATGTGTAAAGAGATGATAAATAAGTAATTTAAAGATTCAAAAAGCATCTGATCACCTGGTCATGAATTTGTTCTCCGACGTTTTGTTTCATTCGATTTCGATTTATTACAAACAAGGATCTGACGATATGTTCAGTTATTTTGGAGAGCGTTGTTTGCAAAACTGTTTGAAGTTGATTAGATGGCATCAGTTGTACGAGGCCGAAAGGACCATAATGAAGTGACTGTAATCTGTTCAGGGCACATATTACTACCAATCGTATCCGCGGTTAGCCGGTGAGTTGTGGATAATGATGCATCCAGATTATGCAGATCATTCCTGGATGGAATCTTTCACCCTCATATTCTGTCTTCATCAGATTTAGCGTTTATTCTCAAATGATGTTCTTGATGAAAAATGAAAATCGGCGGAGCTATTGAATGGGAGAACAGTTGTTAGAAAAGTGATAAAATCACGCATCTAACTAACAGTCTCAAACCGAGCTCAGATAGTTAAAAAAGCCACATATAATGTGTCCAATTATCGCACCCCGTCATGCGGGGACTTCTCAAATAAATTTATTGAAGGGGAAATCGATCAGTATTCAGTTGATCCACCTTTGCTAACAATCAAAGCACACACTCTGAGATACATAGGGTTGACCAGTCTCGATACACAATCTTGAGATATTTTTTCCCCAAAACAGCATGAAATCACTAACTTTAGATAAACCAGGTCTTGCGGTTTTGAGTTTACCATTGTTTCCTTTTTGAGTTAACTACAACAATGTTTAGAAGGAATCCCGATGCGACTGTACACTATGCACAGTGAACTCCATTAAAGCCTTGTGCATGCTGGGCTGAGGTCGTCCTGGGAAATAAAATTTGGTTTGATACCTAGCGGAGAATTCAACTGCTTGTATATCTCTAACTAATTCAAAAAGTGTATAATTGCATCGACAGAAACCGTTCAGGGATGCTGCTTGCCTTATGGCAGAATCTGCTCCACTTTGAATTATTGATACAGCCCGTCGATTGGTGAAGGTCTAATTGAATTAATCAAAGAATAGCATAAATTCCTTTCATAGGATGCGTATATTGCTCGACTGAACTTGATATGTAAAAGGAGATGGCGTTTCGAGTTTAGGCTGTGATCAAAGCGATCAAAATTACCGGGTTGTGTGGAAGTCAATGACCAGTTGGTCAATAAAACTTCCGATATGTCTTGGGAAAGAAACTGGCAAAACAATCACAGTTGTCTACGCCGATACGCAAAGTCCGATGCAGACTCCAGCTATAATTTTGCCCAACTTTGCTACGTTTCGAAATATGAACAAGCACCGCCAAATGTTCGACCAACACGGTAGATTAGTCATATTGTAGCGAGAAGGCAAGCTGGCTGGGAAAAAGTGTATTGATCCACTTGATCCGTATTTTCATGCGAGTAGTGGAGAAGGTGATTCACTTTAAAGAGGAACTTCGTCGTGTGTGCAGCAAATAAAGCGTGAAGTGAAAAGCTAGGAAGCAGTGTGCATCTCTTTCAATCCATCGAGCTAATTGCGGATCGAACCCGGGACCTTACAATCGGCCAATCGGCCACCGGGTAGCTGGCCAGACCATTTGTTTTTTTCTCCATTTACACGATATAGCACAACGTATCCTTGTGTGATTGTTGCAGGCCACGGACCTCGCTCATCTCAGCAATAACCTCCGGGGTTACTATTCGGTTGGAGCCATTCACAAGCTGACTACTTGTTTCATGTGAGTAATAGAGGATTTGATTCAATTGAAAGATGGAATTCGTTATTTATGAAGCAAATACAATCAATATTTCAGTTCACGCTTAGTTCGATACATACACGATCAATTCTCCATTGAATTCTATATTTTAATTAAATGAGGTTAAGGCTAGGAGGCAATAAGGGAGGGGAGGGTGCTCTGTAAAAGTATGTCTCATAGCCCGGATTTATGTGTAATTATTTAGGTGTGAATCAGTGAGCCTGTGAAGATAGTTGTAGCAAGTGTTGGGCCGTTAGTGGCCCGGTGGTAACGTCACCAGGTTATCACCCCGGGGATGTGTTCGAATCTCACCACCACCAACTGACTTTACTCATTGTGTGTGTGTTGGATGGCAGCCCTGTGATTGGTCGCGTGCCCCCTTCCTGAAAATTGTACCCGTGCATGTTCAATAAAATGAAGTAAAAATAGAAAGATAAAAAGTGAGTACTCTCCATGTGGTGGTTACAGTGCTACTGGTCATGCGATGTGTCACTGGTGTGCGCTTGGAGGACTAGGATTCGGGACAGTTCTCACCAGCTCAAACATCTCCTACGGGTCCGCCTGCGCTAATGTGGCTTCTCTGAAATGTGTTTTGGGAACAACATAACGAAAAATAAAAAATTCAAACTCACTGGAGCATTGACCGGTGATTTTGTATAGGCTTGCATCACTCCAGGCAGGACAATATCGTCCAATTCGTTTTGGTGAAAATAGCCAGACATTTCACCCACGCTTTGCATTGCCACAATCTAGATTGAGAACACAGAGGGGAAACGTATTTATTGAAAGTTTCCGTCCGGAAAATGCAATCCAGTTCACCCTGGGCGAAGCCTAAATCCATTAGTTTTCTCGAAAATCAGGGTAGTTTTATGACAGATTTGTGGAGTAGGCGATGCACTTTGCTCAGAAATAACTTGAGAAATTATTTGAACGGAATGCTCTTCGTAAGTCAGAGTCGTCTGAAGGCATAAGTCATATGAATTTGTGTAACCATTTGGGGTGAAACTCCAATAATCAGATCCAATACGAAGGTTATCTTTTCATTCACGGACTGTCGTGCACTGTCTAGACAAAATTACGCTTCGCTAGTCCGTCAGACTGGACAGTTGGGTCGATGTCTCAATAGCTGTTCAATTAAGATTTAGTGTGATGAACAGGATTTTTGTTAGAAAGTTAAATGGTTTGATTGCACTTTTCGATGAATAAATCAATAAATCAAACAACGGTCGATCCGTAGTCTATTCTTCGATGATTCAATGAATTTTCAACTAAACTGATGACAATTATTCACAAGAAGCGTTCATCGATCACATAGACGCCACAAACCCACAAACTGTTCACTGTCCAAAGACTTGGTGAAATATTTATGTATTTCCCACAGTTAAAAAGCATTGTTCATGCATATGACGTTACAAATCACACAGAAAGTGAAGCAGTAAACCTACACCTGAAATCATCAATACCCTACCATTTATTCGAGGGGATTTTGCTTGCACTTACCTAATTATATGGTATGAATCCCATGTCGTCATGGGTCGAAATAGTCCAATAGAATAGTTAACATAAATAAAAGGACTTAAATCCGCCAAATCGACCGAACATATAGCATTGATATCAACGACTGAAGGGTACATATTACTTGCTTTTGTCTTATCGAAAATTGTTTCTTTATTGTTTTAGGCGCTTCTGAAGCGTTCGTATCTTAGTATCTTGTCGGGATTCGAACTTTGGGTCACCGAGTTGATGCAGCATGTCTTATCCGGGAAAGGGCAATTAAAGTGTACATTCCCTAATAGTAGAAACAAGATTAAGGGAAAATAAATATATGAAACGTCCGGAATGATCGAAGGTTTAGGGAGAACAACTGGCGGAATACATCAATTTCGTTAGTAATGCCTGGTGTCGGAGACAATGAAGCGAACTTAATAGGGGTATGTTCAAACTTTTATCAGATTGGTTTTTGCAACCAAACTACATTACGAGGAACTGGTGCCAAAATAACAGATGCAGTGTATCGTGAAAAGACCGAATCGAGAGAGAGAGAGAGACGAGAATTCAGACAAGTAACTCGCTTTGGAATCGGGATGCGTTCACCCGAGAACGTGTCTCTATTCGTTGGACACCGTAAGCACAAGCATTGAAATCACTCTTGAAACAAATTCCCCAAAATTCACTGCCAGAACTGTAAACAGTTATGAAAGCAGAAAGCGAAACTCCTTTTACATGAATGTTTAGTTCATTAGAGAGTTGATAGTTTCTTCCATCATCAGCCATTCCGGATAACAATAAGTTGTGTCAAGCAATCCGTCAAAAACCGTGAGGAAAATTTTACTTCCAGGAACCTATTTCTCAAATGTTTCAATTCAAGACAATAAACTATCTACAGTTCTGAATAGAAAGCAAGTTTTCGTTGGTGAACCTGAACAGGAAATGTATATAGTTTGTTTGTTGCCAATTGAAGATTCAGTAAACAGCTTCAACATGTCAAGTGACGTATACGAGTTCGAGAATCAGAGTATGGGATTTAAAAGAATGTCGAAGTCCCAAATTTAGGTATAGGTAGATGAATTGTTGAACAAACTTAATTCTTGATTTGTTTAGGTTATGTGGTATTTTGGAAATAGCAATTGGTTATAGTAACTTGAAAGTTATTTCGAGGTAAACAACCAAGGTCTCTAACAGTTTTATGGTTACAACTATGTCCTCACGGTTACTGCTGACAAGCTGCCTAGCTGAGAAAACAGACTAACATAAACGTTTGATGATTTCCCGTAAAAAACAAAAAGATACATTTCTATCCGAAGTTGATGGATGTACAGAGAAGACTATCAACTGAATCGTTAAATGACAGCATTGTTAAAAAGCAAACCCGCCAGTTCAGCAATTGGTGTCTACAAAACTGGCAAATGTGTTAGGCGTTGAACTAACCGCTCTCTTCATTCATTATTACAGAAACCAGTTACCTTGGTAATACTGGTAGTAATACGCACTGACTAATGGTGATTGACATTCAGGATTCTGCAGAACCGGTGTTGGAGCAACATCTTGCATCGGGCAAAGGAGAGATATGAATGAATTCCTTCTAAAAAGACCTTTTGTTCACACTGGTTTGAAATGATACATCCGATTAGGTGAGAACGAGAGATGTGACTAGTGAAAAAAGCTTGCTGACATGCTTCAATAATGGTTTTAATATTTAAACAATGATATTTAAATGCTTCATCCTCTGACAATCATGCTAGAAGTTGCTTCACACTGGCTCATGTAGAATAGGAATATGTGTACAGCCAATTGCATTCCGTTGGCCTAATTGAAGTCACTCTAGCAGATTTATCACTTACAGATATGACAAAAGTTATTTTTTTGTACCACTGTGAATTTTGTAACATGAATTTTGATTGGGAATTTAGCATTAAACAGCTGAAATCACAATCAAATTTCACCGAATCTGGTGTCCTTAGATAAGAGATGCGTATTGTTCCGTGAATCTGTGCTGCCTTTGACATTTTACCATTATTCGTAAAACAGTAGTTTGTTATTAGTGGAACATTAAACAGATTTTCCACTTGAACAAGATATTAGAAATTCTGGAGAAACAGTAGGTTGGTTTCCTGCCTTTGTAACTGAATGGTAAACAGTGTAGGACAGATAAGAACCCATTGGATTGTACGGATATGGTAGCAAATGCATTGTTTATGCAATGTGGGCGCAATCTGGCGGTAGAGATTTACAAATACTTGTCCTCAGATTTAGTCGGCAACATCAATAGCAAAAGCAGGAACCCCAACAACAACATCCGTATCAAAGATATTCATGAATGAGTGTTGTTTTTGGAGGGTTTCAAACCTGGTAATATTTAGTTCGCCACTAATCTTCGTGGTAGTCAAACGACCAATCCAACACCATTGAATAATACTTCTCAGGTAATTTGAAATACAAAGAAGCTATCGTATGGTTTTAGTTCGTTGTATCTAATCCTAATCACCTTGAGGAACACGTAATGATGAACATATATGGAGTCAATGGGTTCGCTATGTCATATCATTATATGCATCGTGAACTTGAAGATTTTCATGATTTATGTGAGAATCGTTTCGAATAAGATGATGAGGTTGTTTGAAACGGTGTTATAGAACCCCAAAGCTGATATTTGGAAATAAGCTCCAAAACAGTTTTCGGTGTGTGTTGACTTGGGTTTAGTTTACTACCGTGAACTACAATGTTTCTTCAATCTGCAGAAAAAACTGAAAGAGAATTCATTTATAAATACTCTGTTCATCTTGAATTTGGTTTTCCTTTGCGGTATTACTTTACTACATTTGGAACGGAAAAACCATAATGACCGGCCGGTTTTTCTTACTCGTATTGTCTGTGTCCACACCATGAGTACGAAAGCCTTCATTTGAGATGACGTCCTTGGCTTCCGAGCAAAAAGAGTTACACTTCGCTAAACAGTCCCAATAAATGGGAGTTGGTGTGGCGAACCACATAGGGTTCCTCTTTGTTAGGAACTACTGGTGCATTCACTTAAAGATCGAAGTAGAGACATTTGAAGAACAGTTATTGGTTTGCTTGAAATATTCCAAATGTCAGACAATGCTTTCAACCATAAATCGCATCCACCTATTTTGACAGAAGTGACTGCGTTAATCAGTTGATGGGGTACATGCTGCAGAACAGGCATAGGCGTGTTGCTCTCTTAGGATCCTACACCAACAAGGATACTGGAATAAAAAAGAGCTCCTCAAACAGCGGATCATCGGACGTCTACAACACCTGAAGGGCTTTGTCGCATAAAGTAGTGGGCATGAATAAATCAAGAATTTTTCAATGTATATACCACGCTTAATCGGGGTGAATATATGTGATAAATTGATAATTGTGATGAACAGTAGTAGAACTGTGATAGTCTCTCCCATCCAAAGACCGGTTTGGGAGCTACCGTATAATGTATAAAAAAAATTTGGTATCTCTATGATTGGTAATGTGCAACTGGATGGCTTTGTTGGAATGACATTTGGTAGACCTCAATTTTGGCTGAAGAACCTGGAACTAAATCCCATCGACCACATCCTAATGTCCTCTCATAACCCCTCAGCCGGCCCTTCCTCCTAAGGTTAAATTCATTTTCATATTCAGCAGTTGAACAAAATAAAATGACAGATCGACAAGCTGCCCGACAATAGAATTTGTATCGATCTATAACCGAAAGAACAACATTTCCGTCAGATAAAACAAAAACCATTTTGTTTCCGATAATGTCACTAGTGATGAGGCGTGGGAAAACGTTCACGCTAACTTAAACGGAATCGGGCAAATACACTCTATTTTAATGAGCGATGTAATTCACGAATGTATCACTTTTGCCTATCGTTCCGATGGTGTTTGGAAAAATCGAAAACAACTTCACTACTAAGGGTGAATAAGGTCCAGTCCCCTTCCCCGCCTTTTCTCACTAACCTCCGCAGACAGAATGCACAAACTCGTTCTTGAACTAATTCAATCAACTCAAATAATCATTCCAAGGTGCTGTGGTTGGCCAAAATTACAAAACGCTATGAAAAAACTCTCCAACAACAGTTTATTAGCGAATAGCAATTCATGTCACTATATACCAAGGTTTAAACATAACGACCTAAAACAGACATCATGGTCAATCTCTCGTTGTTCCAGAAGGGATACAATGAAATAATTATGTATTCGACAACAGGATAAGAATGACGAAGAAACATTCTTACGTGGTAAACTCATATGCTCTCTTTAACTCTAAACTTTAAACTCTCGCTACCGCGTTTGAAACTCTCTTTTCCCGACGGCCGACAAAATGAATCACATCATGACCACAGTCAAAAGCGATGAGAATATCCAGACCCATATTTTTTCATAGAGCATTGTGTGAAGCAACTCACTCCCTCTTTTCCACGATAACATCATCCAAACAGTCCCCTTGGGAATGACATGATCTTTCCACAGAATCTCAATTCCCAAGACATCCTCCGGTTAGTTTGGCTTAGACTAAGTAAAATCACTCACACACACCCCGACTTGTTCAATTTCCTTCGTATTTGCCAATATATAAAAGGATGTATTGTAAAATAACATGATTAAGTCACCTGATGAATTACCCAAAGCATATATTTGTCCCATACCACGCCAGTCTCGAATCTGGCTTCCATATAAATGGTCTGTTTCTGTGGAGTTTTTTTTTCCCAAAATGGGAGACGAGGCTGAGTAAAAACAATATTCATCGACTGCCACTGGTCACGGTTGGTTCTCAAAATCTCCAGAGACCCTACACAGAAAACAATATTTGTTTTACTTTTATGTGCATGAATAATGTAAATCGAGTGCGTCAGTCTGAATGCACGCTGGATTTTGTTTGCTCTAGCTGTGATCACTAATGTGGACGAGCCTGTGGCGTGCAATTTGCAAAATCGTTCACACGACGCAAGCATTTTTCGATATTTCTAACCAACTGCATACAAAGTGTAACATTTTACGGTCACTTATAATGCTATTATACTTTTATAATAAATTACATTTGGATTGCCCTGAGCCCGAAATTCTGTTTGATGATTTTTACTGGCTTCAATTAGAAACATAGTGCAATCTGCGTGAGTTCAATTTTTTTAGCTACAAAAATCTGACTTCGGTTCACACACTGTGCCAATCATAATGAATCCCTGTCTACTGAGACTTTGGAAACCATCACCACATCAATGTGTTTGGTGACATTGACTGCGCCCATGAGCACGCAGATGAAACCTCCATAAAATCTTTTCTATACAACCTTCCTCTGGTGAGATGAGATCCACGAACCAAGATCAATCTTCTCACATTGTGTGTATGCATACAACAGGTTCACAGTTGACTTTGGATACGGAAATGTATTTATCACATCCATATTGTTGTGTGAACGAACCACCCACATACAGTAATGTGAGCAGTATGGTGGTGCGTGGGAGCATCAAAACGTTCTTTCCTTTTTGTCACATCATGTCAAACTTGATCAACCTGATCGAAACACCGCATTTTGGTTACGCGGAATCACACTATGAACACGAGTTTCCGTGTAAGCGCGGGACTATTATTGTGGGTCAAACACGCGAACTGCAGAGATTGTGAGTTACAAAAGCATCTTACCTCGTGGGCTGCTAGTATAGGACACCTGTTCCATCAGTTACTCGTAAATGCGCATGCCGGAGTGCTTAAACTACCACGAGAAAAGTTACCCATTAGCGATATGTCGTTGAAAACTAAATCTTAGTAACTTGATCAATGGATCGATTTAGTTTATTTTTCATTCCTGTTTGCTGTTCAAGCTAAGATTAGTCGATTGAATCCCCAGTCGAGCTAACATTCTCAGTACCAGAACATCATAAATATGTTTCTCACTTCGTTTGGGGATCCGATTTTTGCACAGAAATTATAACTTATTACTGCTGGTCTAGGTTGCTGGCCCTGACCTGTTTCAGGCCTTAAGATATTATATTCGAATCCTACAACCGCCATCCAACAGCCTAGCTGTGGTACGGTTCAATCTTATAACTGAACTCTTAGTGTCTTTCATGGTTTGCCTATCTAACTCATAGTATCACAAGTGTCAATTAACTTTGTTGAACAGACAGGGGTTTTGGCAACCTTCTGGTCATCCCAAACTGTTGTGAAAAGTAAACACGAGGAACAAGTAACAAATGTCAAGATCGCAGAAACAATCAACTACTTAATGAGGATTGCGAGTGACCCAAAGGTAATTTTAGAATAAAAAAGAATGGTATCTCAACAGACTGTGCTCCTTCTGATTCAAGGGTACCTACCAAATCCATTCTTTGAGAAGTTAAGGCGAGACTTTGAGCCGCTCATTAAACGATAAATGGAATTCATTTCAGGGTATTTCATACCTACATGATTGCTGTCGGATTTTCAAATGGGCATTGCGCTTGCATTTCCGGTTTGATTGCCAGTTTTGTCAATCGACCCCGTCAAAACCAACGAGGAGTAACTCGCTATGAATTTTGGTTCCTGTGCTTGTTTACAGCAAACTTCCTGGAGGTAATTTTCAATTAGTTCATATGTGTGATCAGGAAAAACAACTCAGTATGCTTGTTTCCTCAAGATATACATAGACGGAACGAAGATCTGTTTTTCTGTACCTAACAAACTATATTATGTTTAGCTCCAAACATGCCGTGAGGAAAGAGCTGTATTGTGAATGTGCCGATACCCAACCTGCTTCAATAATCAAGAAACTAAATGGTCATTATTACATGTTAATGCTAAGATATCGATTTGTACATGTAAGCTTCATACCTAGGTAAGCCGCTCGGGATCGATGTCAGTTCTTCTTTGAAATCCAAACTGATCAGTCCGATAGAGTTTCAGTTTACGCCTATCCTGAAGAAAAGTAGAATTTTTTTCCAAAAAAAAACATTTCTATTCGGAACGCATCGTCGGTATCAATGCAAGTGCGCCATCTTAAGTTAATGACGTAAAGGTATTTGTTCCGTTAGCACTAAAAACCCGCTACGTGCTCTGGTTTGATCAAATTTAAACAACATGGGAATTTACAACAGTATTTTATTGCAATGGGACGTATGGACATCCGGTTTAGAAGTGTGATTGTGAATGACACACGTCAGGACGAGGTTGAACACGGAACAATAATAAAAGGTGATCCGCCTCAGAAAGCACGTTCGCACACAACGCACTGTAGAATGTTTAGCACGTACCTGTACGTCCGCTATGCTCGACTCCAAACAGTCGCAGAGGATCGGCACGAGGTGTTGTTCAATAGTTTGAATTGATGCGTGTTTTGTAAACGCGGTGATGTTACGCAACAACTCCGCTTTCACCTTTGTCAGGAGGAAGGACGAAGGACGAGAACGGGAACGCATGAAGAAAACCCGAAGTTCACAATTTATAAGTTTGACAAATTATTTCAATTATAATAAACAAACAAACTTTAAAGCAGCTCACGCACACTCAGAAGAAGCAGAGTAAATTTACGTGAGTCGGATCCTCAAATTTGACCATATGGAATGCGGAGTTTGATTGTTTTAATTTTATACGCGAATGTATCTTCATTTTGTCCGCAAAAAGAGTAATTTTGTCCTTTATCTGCATCCATAGCTATTTGATTCCAGCTGAAACTCTCCAGTTTCCCTTGAAATCCTTAAGTAGTTGAGTTTCTTGTCTGATTGGTCGATTTGAAATTAGTGATGGCCGTAAACCATGTTGCCCAGGGATGAGGATTTTGACGTTTCAAGCAGAACACGTAGTTGTTTGATCCAACTTTTTGGAGTGTATTTAGACAACTTCAAACCAACATTGTTTCACTTCTCAGATATCTGCTCAGTGCTTTTCTACAGTCATGTTCCCTTTCCGTTCACCTAAAATATTTGGAACAATGTGGTTTCAAATTGTTCTCACCAGTCCATATAAAAATTTTTTGAGCTGCCTCATGCGATTGTACCACCTCAGTATAATAATAATAATATATCACATTAATATATCACATTTCATTATTATAGTATAAATTATTATAATTATAAATCCGGACAACAACAAACATTTTTGAGTTCACTGGTTTTCTAAAACTGGATTCTCAATCCTCTGTGGATTTTGCGAGGAGGTGATATTTTTTGTCTCAGCCTTCTATAAGCCGAACAATACTACATGGGGATTATAAGGCCTTCTGGTCACCCCCCCGGAAAACTGGCGTTGGTCGGAGGAAAAGGAATATGCTCGCATGTGCATGCTGTTGTGCTCGTCAGATCCGAGTTGTCTGTGATAGGTGGAAAAGAGACAGGCACCCGGAAGCGTGCACGCAGTTCGACCGAATTGCAACTCCAGCTGGGCCGAATTAGCCGTATGTCTGACCCCAAACAACATGAATGAACACTGTGTGACCCAAATTGTAAATTTGAACTCGGATTGTATGCAAAAAACCAGCGGAAAATATGGGTTATGCGAGGGGGAGCGGACTGCTCAAATAAACGAAATAGGTTTCCTCTTCTCGTGGATACCTGCTGGATATTCTTGTCGCTCCTTGAGCGAAATTGTATCATTCACAACTCACTTTTAAACACTTGTATCATGGATGTATGTTGAGTGAGAATCCGATCCTTCATAATGCAGTCCACTGAATTCAATTCTGCCCAGAAGAGATGCACTTTACACAGCATTATAAGGGTTTTCGTTTCGGCGTGCGAATTATTTTCTACACATAAGTTAATGCTTCCACGGAACAAAATTTAGATGAAAAAATCCAGGGCGAATTCGCTAGGTTGCACACCAGCTGTTTATGAATGTCCTAAAATCCGGTCACTGACACTGGTAGCGGTGGACATCAATAATGAAGGATACATTCGATCTGTGGTTAAATGGATGCCGACAGCAACCCTGGAAATATTTTGGCAGTACTACCAAACGGAAGTCAGGTCTGAGTCGTCCGCATGAATTATCTTGAATGGGATCTGGGAGAATCGGACTAAGTTATGTGGCAGCGTTTGTCGGGTATTGAGTAAATAACACGTGAACTAAACTTCCATCAAGCAATTCACAGCTATTTCGACCTGATTAGGTCTTTCTTTGAGAGTTTGCTGCGGGGAAACGCACCTCACGCCCCGTACTATTTTGTATTTATATTTGTGTAACTTGTGTAAGCATATATGCTCACATTTCAGTTAAAAATGTAAACTGTTCGTCACACAGAATGAAATAAAAATAATAAAAACGAAAGGTAAACAATTTCGGCGATATACGTTTCATGTACAAAACATTTGACATAGTTCATTTGATACCTGTTCCATTTTGGTAAATAGTCGGACCAGGTAGTGTACAGGGGACTTTTTATAAATGTTGATGCGAGAGGGTAGCTGTCAAAATGAGGAGCGTGTGGATGGATGGGAACGACAAGACGAAAGATCAGAATGCAGTGGATGAAGAGGGTCATCTGGATTCTTGTGAGCAAATACAAACAAGAGTAAATGTGTTCTGTGATTAATAAATCAATTGGGATTAGTGATGCACGACTGATTATCACCAAACCACGGGGAATTGTTTTGAAGTCGTGTTTTGAAAGACCGGGAAGCACTACAGGGGAGCAATAAAGTAAAATGGGCAAAGCGCATTGATGAACGAAAGATGACAGGACTGATTGTAGGGTTCGGAATTGCTTCAGTTTGCGTACCTGAAAAGATAGGCTTCTTAGTTTTCCCACACAGTTGTAAATGTGTGTAGACCAACGAAGATTGCTGTCGATGGTGACACCCAGGTACTTCACTGAGGTCATTCTAGATACAGGTTTATCGTTAACGATAGCAGAGTCCGTTGGAATTAAGGAGCGGGAA